AGCTGCTCCATGCCATTAATGAATATTCTCGTCGGATCTTCTTCTTACGCGAGAAGACACTTCATTTCGAAATAGAAGAACGTAGGAGGGGTTTCCTCCCCGTCCTCTTTCCGCTTCCCTCTTGCTATTCCCTTCATCATAACAAATGCAAAGACGAAATGAAATGTCGTGCTCTTAGAGCTTCACATGCCATTAAGTCCATCTACGAAGAATGCCCAACGTCATCGAACACGATGCCACTCTTTGTCGTGGTTAACGATACGCACACGAAGGCAGCTCTTGTGAATATCCTCGCCTCTTTCTACTCGCTCCCACTACTCTTCCTAGACCGTGTAGGGAAATTCCGTGGAATGCATAACTCTGTTTCCCTCGTCATCACGACAGAAGAAGAGATGATGGGATGTCATCCAAGGAACGTTATAGTCATCGTGGATTTTCCTCACTCGAGATGGATAAACTATAATCGACTGATAGCCACCACAGGTCTATTGTTTTAGGAACACGATCTCCTACTTCTCAACTGGTGACCCTTCAAGTCACCACAACGTTTTCTTTAGCAGCCTACCTTTTGATTTTTTTCTTTGAAGTTGTTCCTTCTAAAGTCAGCTTGTATGAATAAGATGTGGAAGGTGTATAAAGAGAAGGCGATCCATTCACTAGAAGAAAATAAATTCCACCTTGCCAGCTTCCCTCTTATAGAGATGAAATGGGATGATATGGATGGAGAAGATCAAAAAGATGTGGAGAAGATGCTTGAATCAAAGATCTGTGGAATATTCGGCTATGCTGCCTCGGGAAAATCAAGGAAAATAGAAATATTGATAAAACGTGTGCTGGAGCTTGGGAGGCGGGTCCTGCTTTTCCACTGCGGAGGTGTGTTGTCTCGAGAACTCTGCCGACATCGTTGGAGGGCACATTCAAATGTGCAAGTTGTTTCCTGTTCTTTCGAGACTCTCCAGGACATCATTAATCATAAGGATGTTAAAGAAGCTCAAGCGGAGGTGGATGAGGGTGTGCCTCTCTCGGTTGTCGTTGTTGAAGACTGTCCAATGTTCCTCAGAACTGAATGTGATATTGAGAAAGTTTTGCGGGAGTTACATGAAAAGAAATTGAACCTAACCTTGGTTTTTAAGCCTCATTCAAATGACCCTCAAGGAATCTCGCCAGATAAGGTAATGAAACTTTTGACAGATAATCCGGTATCCACAGCCATAGCCCTACTTACGCCTCCAACTCACATGCACTTATTTAGGCATATTAAAAACAACGAGAAGCGTATATCTTTCGAGATGAAATCAAAGTGTCTTCCCATATCCTCAGCATCTGCCTCAATTGTATTTGGGCCACCAGTTCAATTCATTATCTGGAAGTGTCCAGGGCAACATGCTGGATATATATGTAAGGGCGAAGGCTTCTGTTCGCCTCATATTAAAAATGCTATTCCCGTCCTTTCTTCCTGCATTCACTCAATTCTATCAATGACGCAAGACGATGAGTACCCTAACATCTTGGTTTCTGATGAAGTCCTTCTGAAGTCCTTGCAGGAGGCATTTTCTCACCAAAGCGGAGGCTTCCATTTCTCACACCCAAGCCATTTTCGGGGCCGTGAGGCTTCCACCATCATATCCGTCAATGTGTGCAGTGAATGGATGCTGGAAGTCATTTCCTTTGCCAGGACTCGTCTAATCATCATAGACTTTCTACAAGACCATCAAGATCTTTGGAGAGCCATGTTGGAAGGAGGTCACATCGAAACTAGGGATGTTTCCGTGGAAGAGGATGTTTCATTACGCATAGCCCGAGATAGTTTACTGCGAGCAGATGAAAATTGGAAGTTCCTGATGGTCAGATTGCCTATCTCCTCATTGATCAATTCACCAGTTATTATGCTTTACCTGTCAAATGTACGATACTTATTTAAAAGGAAATAATGCAGAGCCTGGACTTGCTTTTGAAATAATGTATATTTGCGGTATTATACCTCGCGTTTAAAAATGGAGTCATCTATTGAAATATATATAATCAGTAAAAGCATCATTAAATCATTACAGCTCCTTTTCGTGAGACAGGATGTTGTCAATGGTTAAAACACTTCCAAAATTGATATTTTATTTCCCCCGTAACTTCTCTCTTCTCATAACTGCAGTCAGTCTCTCCCTGATAGAGACATCCATAAAAGAGCTGGCATCCTTGAAGAATAATGTCTTCTCCTTTACAGGCTCCAACCTGGGATGTGGCAGCTCAGAGGGTGGGGGAAGAGGCATTGGAGAAAGGGGACATATTTGACGAAGGAAGCGGCGCCATATTCTACCCTCCTGGTTCATGGGATGCCCTGAATAGCATTTCTAGTAATTCTCCATTTCGTGACTGGGGATACGTCTTTACCGATGGTAAGCAAGTAAATATATGTAGACTATTTTTATTCCCAATTGAGTGACAGTATATTTATCTCGGCTAGTTAAGTGTTGGTGGAATATCGTAAAGTAAAATAGAGGTCTCGTAATTTTCATGCTATTTCAATGTAATGGTAATGACAAACGCTAAAAATATAGGTTAATGATTAGATCCATTTTTAGTTCTAAAGAAAAGTATCATGGATTTATTTTAATGGAACTAAAGACACAAAAACTGAAGCAGATTAATGAACACACCAGTACATCAATTCTTTCGTAAGGAGGGTAATGACCGTTATCATCCGAGGCATTCCCATGATTACTCCAACTAGTGATAATTGAGCGAAGATAGTGTCAAGTGATATATATTGACTTACCGTTAGGTGCTTGGACAACTTATACAAAGCGCGTTCTAGCAAGATGATGTACTAAAATCTGGGGAACCATGGCTTTGGGGGATGGCCGGGAGAGGATTAACCCTTAATCGATTTGCCATAGAATTATCGGGAAAAATGTCGGATTACATTATGCCTTAGATCTCCGTAATTAATTGTAGAATGAGCTTTATATGTGACACATGCAGAGCGAGAAAGTACAGTAACATGGTTTTGAAGTTTCAACTGTCAGCGTTGGAAAACAAAGGAATGACGTAATGTAGAAAACATAAGAACTTGGGAATCATTTTAGCCGTACTTCCCGCACGGAATACCTTCACGTGATTAGTTCTTCCAGAAATAGTCTTCCACTGCACTACATCTCCTGTTACGAGTCATAGAAGTAATCAAAGCCTTTCTCGTGGGCAGAGACTTGAAAGGGGATCCTTTGGAGGTCTCTATTTACGGCGCACTTAGGATTTTAAACATATTTTCCAATCATTCAGTCCGGTCTAATTTCTTATAATTTTCCTATTTACTCAATAATAACAGATTCAGATACCCCGCACATAAATGCACGAAAGACCTGCCCCTCGATCTTTAAAACCCAGGAATAGACAATTAAAACCGATTACCACTGTTTTTCTTCAAACATCAACCAAGAAAACGTCTTCCGTACTGTTAGATTAATGAGCAAGATGCTTAAATTGTATAAATAAATATTCTTTGCTCTCTCCACTTTTGATACACGCCAAAATAGTTTCAAGTAAATGAATGAGCAAAGAATACCAGGCAATTTTCTCAGAGCTATGCGCGCTCCTCAAAAATATCCCAAGAGAAACAAACTGGAAAAGGGTTTAAGGTAGTAACATATGGTTAAAGAAGTAAAAGTAAAGATATTTCAAAAGTGTTTTTTTTTTATTTGATGGCACACAACCATTTATCGGCTCCTGTCTGAATAGCACTTTTAGTGATGGTACACCTGAACCTAATGCAATATATTGTCTCTGGGACAAATTATTTTCTACGCTATATTAAGCGTGAATTTGAAATATTTTTTTAACGATCCGATTGAAAATATCTGCAATAGGTGCTTCAAAATGAATAAGAACATTTTTTCTTTTAAAGAAATAACACCAATATGCAGTACATACTGCAAGAGCCTCCTTCGGCGCTGGCCTGTAAGGGAAGCCATTCCAATACATTTGTATCACTTCACCGACTCCAATGAATTTTCCGGGCATCGTGCCGAAATTATGCCAGATTCAAGACTACTTCAACCTTAGTATCGGCGTCTGGATCTGCTGCTTTTTTTTTAATGTATGATGCATTTTTGTGCCGAGTTCATGAGTTGAGCTGAGAATGTAGCGGTGATTAACAGTGATTGATCAATGTGGTGGGATATGGAGATGTCTCATCCGTACCACCCCGAATTAACAGAACGGTGTGCACAACAGATATCACGCTTCCTGGAGGCATTGCCTCCACAGACTTATTCGAGATGGTTCGAGGAACTCCAGACAGGCCTAATGTTTCACGTCCCACTGAAATGGTTCATGAAATGTGAAACATGCCTCAGAACGGTCTAAAGTTACATGTCCTCTGAAATGGTTAGTGAACGTATGAACAGGCCTACAATTGGCCTAACATTACTCATCCTCAAGGAGATGTGTGGAAGATTATGGATTCACCCTCATAGGGCTAATTTGCACAGTAAGTCAAGAATTTAGTTTAAAAAGGAAAAAGGTAGCCCTTACCGTGACCTGAAGGCAGTCTGTTTTTATTCCAAGGCCTAACTTTAGTGAGTCCTGTAGAGAAGAGAAGAGGGTGGAAAGGGAAAACCATCGAAAATTTGTTTTCACATTACTTCATATAAAGGTAGTTGTTACCTTTCCCACTGACATTCTGCCAGCACACAAACGATGCGCCTAGAAAAAATACGATCTCTGGTTGGTTCAGCTAATTGCTAGCAAACTTTCGAGAATACAAGGTCAATTTCCCCATTATTCTCGTATAATTATGCGTATACTTACCAAAAAATGATAAGAAATCGGACAATAAAATTCCTAACAAAGGATATATCGAGAGTCAATATTCTACTAAACCGTTCGCATCGCGTTTATGGTAATACTGGTTCTTTTTTCCTGCTGAGTCTTATACAGCGTTCAAGAAGAAAGACATGACTTTTGTCGTGAATCAGAGATGGGTTACGCCTGAACTCAACCATCATGCACAAATGACAATTGGTATAGGTGTCGATTGACACAACATTTTTTTTAAAATCCGGATCGACGAAACTCCATTCGCATTACTCCATCTTTGCTCCTCTTAATTCAAGCTTGGTCTCATTTTTCCAGACGCACCAGGAGCAGTGCCTCAGACTGAAGACCAAGAGAGTGACGAAGTCCGGGACCAGCTCCGACAGAAAGGACTGGAGTGGAATTACCAGACGGATACACCTGTGCCTCTGAAAACGAGTGGTAGAGGAGGAGTATTGGAGTCCCTTTCCCTTTGCCTTACTGGATCCCTCCTCCACCTTTCTCTCCTTCAGGTAATTCTTCTGATCCTGTTTTCTGTCAAGAGTGTTTTGTTTTCACCAAGTGAATGGCTACGGAAAGGGTACCCCTAGTGCCGTTTTCATTGAGTGGCTTTCAAAGAATGGTGACATATATTGAAAAATATTTTTCACCATTTTACCTAGAAAATAAATTGAAAACTTGTATTTCATTATGTGGGAGTATAGTAGTAAATATATTGTACCTCAGGAAGCAAAAGGGAATCGCGCCGAATAAATGCTTTCCATCCATGCTAGTGGTAGGTATTTTATATGTTCATTTCTTTAGTTGTTCCATTCGTATTGGAATGACATCATCAACTTCCTTCCATGGAAGGCCTGGAATATGAGAAGATCTCCATAATTTTCTCGTTCATTGAACCTTCCATGCAAACATACTCTTTCTGAACGTATTCTTCATTTCTTATTTTTCCATGACTCTTAATTTTATACTTGGCGTACTTGCACATGGACTCTGGATTACGTATCCATCACCTGCACTGATGCGATAGCTACCTAGAGTGTAAATCTTCGCAAGCATAGTCGGCGCTTGGATAAATTTAATTCGCGAAATTCGAATATGTGGCCGGCTTCTGAACATATTCACTTGTTTGTGGGGATTCCTGGTGCAGTTGAAAATATCGAAATGTTTTCTCAATGAATAATAAAGTGTAGAGACACATCCATGCATCATTCATTAGTGAAACTTCATTGCTTTTTTCTACCATTGATGAATCCAAATTACACATTTCATTGGATCTAAGAGCGTCTATTAAGTCAAGATATAAAGGTGGAGGGGTATGGTATACTTAAATGCCTGACAGAGCCAACTGGCAAGTTTTCTTTTTTGATGAAGTGGACGTGCTAGCGTGAATGAAAAAAAAATAAAACCTATTCAAATGATGCCATAAAAAAACATTCCTATCAATTTTTGCCAATGTATTCTCATCAATAAAAAGGGAAATTGGGTACGATCGAGAAGTCTCAGCGAAATTACATGAGGCAGAAGGGGTCACCTACATGTCATATCACACAACCGTTACTACGATGGGAACGAGCTCAAGGATGGTGTCCGACATCTTTTCGCGGACATAGCTCACGGTATGTCGCAAAAAATAGCTTGATGCACTTGGAGGAGAATTCAGCTGTAGACGAACAACAATGGTCAGGATTCGAATCCTCTTGATCTGGGGTAAAACCAGGAGTAAAGTGACTTTTGTGCACACCATAAATAAGCTCACTTTTGGCCAGTTGATTCATAGCGTGGAATGTGTGTCCTTTCTTCCAGGACTTGGGAGGTTATTCCCATTCAGGCATCATCCTCCAGAAATTCTTTTTAGAACGTACAAGAGGGGATTTGTTGAATTTCGAAACAATTCTTATCATTTAGCATCATGTAGGTCATTTTCTCATTTGCTTTTCCGGATAGAAGCGGCTTGGGAGCGAGAACCAGGCAGAACCATTTTCTATTCTCAATTCCGGAGCAGACCTCTTTCAAAGGCCGATAATTATATTAGGGGAGAAAGTATCTGGTGAGTCCGTTCAATATCCTATTCATTAATATGTGCTTAATATCCTTCCTTAATTCCTTAATATCCGATGCTGTAGATTGAAATTCACGCTATAACATGCGGATTGTCCACTCTGAGCATGCCAATAAATCCACGAAACGTTTCCAAATCGTCATAGCTACTAGGGAAAATCCAAGATTCATTAAAATTAGAAAATGAAATAAGCAAAAAAATGACTGTCAAGAATCAAAGATAATTCATGCCAATATAATGATAGCTTGGCTATTTCACCATGCAAGTCAGCCTGGCTTTTATTAATTTATCTGGTCTAGAAATTCATTTACGAGGTACTTTCGTTGAAGCTCAGGATACGCTAGGCGTATTTTCCAAAATATTCGAACTAAACCAAGGTCACCTCTCATATATTTACCAAAGATACCAAAAACTTTTTTTTCGGAAAAGACGTATTTTTCAGCCCCATACGAGAATAAATAAACGTAGTTTATAGTTCAACTTGCCATCACAAATATCAGTGTCTTCTCTGGCCATTACCAGTAACTTGAAGAGTAGGTACATTATTATGAGTTTACAATGAGAATTTTACTATTATACTGTTGAATATATTCTGGTTTCAGCTACTTTTCTTCCTCAAAGAGGAAGAGAGCAAATGGAGGACGAATGGAGGGGAATCCTTCTCTTCACTCAAGAATCTCATGGAACCATTATATTTATCCCTATTGTTCCTAACGTTGGTAAGTTTACCATATATGTAGTGTCTTCAACCATCTTTTCTCCATGATATTTTGCCTCACATCCTGGTATTTATTAGACGATGTTTCCGGGACAATTTCGGTAACCTTTGTAAGACACTAGGAAATAGAAGCCCTATGATTCCTTGACATTTTGGGTAGCTTGGTGATGCGTTCACTTTTTCGTTCATATTCGTTTTTTCTCCCATTCACAACTCACTTGATTTCCCAGGAAATACAGAGCTACACCTAATATAATGGAAACAAGAAAGTAGGCAATTCCATGGGTTTTTTTTTAAGAGTGCATAACTGCAACATTGCTCAGGCTCATTTGAGAATCCTAGTTGCTTTTGTATAATTTTTCCATGTATGGGAATGAGTTTTTCAAGGAAACTTCAAAGAGGTATGACTATTGAAATCCTAGAAAGGTGAGCCTAGGCGATGAATCAATGGAAGCCTTAAGGTTCGTAACAGGAGATATCCCCCTCAGGTTCGTCTGTATAAGGGAATGTTTCACTTATATCTTGATATGCATTTGACCCGTACAAGGTATGTATTAAGCACTTGTATTTCAATCGTGCTATATCAGATTATATTATTTCTCTCTTACTCTTTGTAAACTATTTTTCAATGGAGTACGTCCGAAAAGTTAAAAAATTATTGTTACGCTGGCTTACGAGTTTCTATTTAGTGAAAATTATCTGGTGCCAAAGCTTGGAACATGGGAGATACCAGGACTTCTGTATGCGGATGATCTCACAATCACATCTCTTAGGCCCGTGGGCTTCTAAGGATGCTAAATCGTTCAGCATCTTACTCAAAAAAGAGTAAGCTGAAAGTACGGAAGAACTTCTGTACTAAACGTACAGAAGACCAAAATTATGCCGTTTTCAAGGGACATAAGATGCTAAGCCCAAAAGTTTTATATTCAGACCAGCAACTAGAAGTAATTTAACATTTCCCATACCTAGGGGTGGTGTTCTCTACTAGAGGTCAATGGGCAGATCATATGCATTCTCGTTGGAGTAGGGGCAAAGCTACAAATGCAGCTCTAATAGGATTGTTTCAGAAAATTCCCTCCTCTATCCAAAAGGCTACCCAGATATGGAGTATGATAGTTGCAACTACCCTTCTGTACGGTGCAGGATTAGAATGGATTCCTGATATGAGGTATCTCGACGCTACATCTGCAGGTTTCCTGAAGGGACTCCTAGGACAGCCTCTCTCAATTTCCAATACTCTAATCCTGTCACTCTATACACCGCCTGCTAACAGAGTCTTGACAGGGAAACGTCGGCTAGGATTATGGTTGGAACTCTGACAGGCGCCCAAAAGGTCTCTGATTGAAACCGCCCTGAACGAACAGTACACAATTATGCTAAAAGGTGACGATTGCTGGTTGAGGTCAATCAGTGATTTCTGTCAGGAATTTGGATATTCTTATGCTTTGCACTTTGGCACCCTCACCAAGTCCTTTATGAGAAGAATATTTCGTTCATGTCAGATACAAGCAGAGACTGGCGGACTCAATTTGAAACAACACCTTCTCTTGACCAGCTAAAAATGGCCCTATTACTTAGATTGAAACGTTCATGTATCATTGGCCTTGAAAGAAAAGCAGGTCCCTTTCTTAGATGTGTCACGCAAGCCTGGAAGTTCTCTTCCATCAGTCATCCATAGGGCGAACACGTGTCCCCTATGCACACCCCAGGATTCCAGGGAACATCTATTATTTTGGTGCGAAGAACTAGACGAATTGCAGAGACAATATGTTCCGACGCATTAATAGACCAGTATTGCATTTCTTCACTTCCTCACCAGTTCCTGCGTCTCACTTTTGGTGTTCTTTGTGTCTGTCTTCCCTTGCTGTGCTGTACTTCTAGTCCTATGTGCATTCGCAATACGTACCAGTTCCTGCTTTTTTTTGGCAAACGGCAACAAAGAGGAAATCAAATCGTACCTGAAAACCGCACTATGGAAGAGGCACTTGCCTTAAGAACAAAGCGATATAACTGGCTATGGTCGGAATTCTTGAATTGCTTGAATGCTTTCCTGGTATTTCGAAAAACCGAATTATTCACTATATAGACTCAATGTTGTGGTTTGCATGCAGTCCTTCGACGGGTAAATATTCTGTACTTCTGAAAATGCGTTTGAACGTTTTTGAATGTGTTTGAAAACTATGAACTTCATTTGATATTGTTTATTATTAGTAGTATGAGATGTACATTGTTCTGTATCTCACCTTGCAACCGAAAGCTTAACGAGCAAACCGGCAATAAAGTTTGATTGATTGAGTAATGGTATGGATATTTCCAACCCTTTTGCCAATCGTTTCTCCTTAAAAATCCTACTGTTGTATTACCAGGTCAAATGTGGATCAATGTGGAGAAGCTACCTCCAGTCCATGGAGAGGGCAGGGTACCCTCTTCCCTAAGGAAAATCATCTTCTGCGGAGGGCTGGATGTGGAGTGGAGAACTCATACCCTTCCACTGTTGTGGGTCCTGGATCGAAATCTGGGAGGAATGCCTCCATTTCAATCGGGTAAAGGATGAATTGAAATTTATCCCTTACCATAACTATATTTTCTTGAATTTCATTAAAGATGGAACTCACAGTATTCAATTTCATCTATATAGCTAGTCTGCTATTAAGAAAATCGAACATGTGTATCTTAATTGTATTATTAATTTGACATTTGACATAAGTGCACTGTTAATTGTCTGAACAAAATGGTATGGCAACAAAACCTTCGAGTTAGTTTATTATATTGAACCATTTAGATAATGGAAACCTTTATTCATCCCATAAACGTTTATTTTCAAGACCGGCTGTGTTTAACGCCACCTTAACCCTTTCAGACCTGAATTAAGGCAGCTATCGGAATAATATCATTATTGCATTTTTGAGCTCTTTCGTGATTGTAATTGAAATTTTTGTGTTGCTTATGCAGTTTTCATATTTTGTATAAACTTGCCATATCATACTATATGTTATATATTATACATTTAATTAAATAACAGAATATTACTAAATTAATCGGTGAAAGAAGCCCTCTGATGGAACTAAGCCATGCATAATTGCACCCATTGTAGCGTAATAATGAGGTAATTCTAAGAAACTGCCATGGATACAATGTAAATGTACTGTCCATTGGAATGGACGCCAGGTCTGAAAAGGTTAAGTACAGGGGTTCTTCGTACTTGGAAGGATAAATTGGGAGAGAGATGAGAAATGTTTCATTTTCCTTGAGTTCAGGTACTTGAGGATCATTCTGCTTATTATAGATTACAATTGGTTATGGTTTCTAGGCAGCCTTTGCGAATCAGCGAAAAAGAAGTAACCCCTCAATTTATTCGTCTCAAAGGCGAACGTACGTTTTGTACACCATGGAAACCTCTTTCCTCAAAATACGTAGTATTATTTGTGGGACGGGCTCAGTATATCATGTTTTATTCAAATTATAGGAAACAATGGCTTCTGCGTCTCAGTACATCCTTTTTCATTCTTATCGGATTCTAAGGAGGTATTTAATTAAATTATTCCATATAGGAAACTGTTGACATAATCCAATATGCTTGCAGAGGGGAATGTTTTTCATCATCTACAACTTTTACCATTTTGAAACTTGATCAACTGAAAGCAACCAGTGTTATTTATGCAAACGTGTTTATGAATGGTCAGTATTCATGTCACGGTCGGGTCATAATATGTTGCAAGGAGAAGGGAGAGAAAATTTAAACTGGGAAATGCTAGAATTATGAACGAGTATTTTAAATGCTAATAGCGGCCGCAGGCCGCTACGCTGGTCGTCTAATGAACGGGCATTTGGAAATTTTTACATAAAGATGTGAAGTAGTTTCGCTTAAAGCAAACAAACAAGCCTCGAGAAGTCCGAAAGGGTTGCCGCCCAGCTAATTTTATTGTCACACCTAGGTTTTCCTGTTCTAGCCGATAGCCTGGAATTTCATAACCTTGTAAGCCTTGCGAGTTATGCCGGGGATGAGTAACAACCGTTCACCAACGCCTTCGGCATCTTTCAATTGTAATGGCCTAGCGTACTGCCCAGTCCATGAAGCCCCTCATAGAATGCGTTATTAAATAAATCATGATTCATTTGCTTTTTACTTTTGCAGGAGAACCGCATGAGCGCAGCAATCGCCAATGGATTTACCATGCAACGAATTCTCAATAACCAGAATGTTCGTGGAATGCATCATGAATAATCAATGGATGAAACTCCGAGGTGACTCGTCATTGAAACACTTTTGCATCGAAATAATGAATATTTTAAAAGAACCATTGAAGTATTATATTGAAATATAATATATGGGATGCTTGAACGTTTTTAGAATAATCTTCAAGAAAGTAATGTATAACGTTGATCTTAATGCGATTCCAATTTTGCATGCAACCCATGCAAGCTGTAGCCATGGGAAATCCTCAGCAGTAAATGCTCATACTTATTGAGGAAAATATAGGAAATTAATATCGTTTGCAAAAGCTGGTATTTATTTCCGGTTCTGGGAATTGTGAGCATGTTACGTTTTAAATTTAGATGTAACACGTTCGGAATTTCTGAAATTGGAAAAGAAATACCAGATTTTGCAAAGAATATTAATCAGCTATATATATTCCCTCAATAGGAACGAGCATATTGTATAGTGTTAAGGGCTTTTAAGGCTGCAGTTTGATTGGATGCTAGTAAAAAATTTGATTTGCCTTCATTTGAAATTCATATATTGCCTTCACGCGGTAGAGTGGACTTCAATTCCCTTTTAATAATCATCGACTCGAAGGCGATATGACAATGGTAACGTCTTGTGCAATGCACAGCATATCCTCTCACATCAGGTTTTTCTAGTGTAGCATTAGAGTGACAGCAGGAAGTTTGCTTTCATCTTTTTGTACATGCTTGTGGATGTTGGGAAATATGTAGAAAGCAACAGAGACGTTTCTTGAAGTCTAATGTATAGATAGTTATATGCCCGTAATACTGAAGCCAAGGAAAAAGAAAACAATTCGTTCAACGTTAACATTATTTACCAAAAATAACACCGAATGGTTGTTTCTTGCAGATGCCTCTGCTGTGGGACTCAAATGTTGCTCTTGGGATTAAGATTTACCCGGAGAAAAGCCAGTGCTTTCAATATGACAGCATTCATGTTTTCTAAACCTGTTTCGCCCAAATGACAATTCATTTGTTTTTTTTTTACGCAAAAATATATTTATAAATGTGAAAATCAATTTTCAAAATGTTACTCATTCTTTAACCCTCTCCTCCTTCCTTTGTCTGCGGGGCTTATCAACATTAGGCCTAGGCCTAACAAATACTGTAGACTGCCTTTAGGTCACGCCAAGCCTACTTTTTTCCTTCATAAGAAGCTGGATTCTCGATTTACGGGGCCAATAAGGCCTATATGGGTGAATCCAGGGTCTTAGACATATCGTTGAGGACGTGTAACGTATAGCCAATGCAGACTTATTCGTACTTTCGCGAGCCATTTTTGGGAGAACGTATAAAGTTAGGTGTATCTGGAGTCCCACGAACCATCTGAAATACGTCTAAGGAGGCCTTGAGCATAGATTTATAATCATTCCAACCACCATGTGTCAGGAGTACCCATCCAGTTACTGCAGCGTGTGCCTAAGACACAACAAAAACGGACAAACCATATATGTCTGCTCTTCTTGCAAGATCCCCTTTAATAAGGGTGATTGTCTCACCAGGTACCACATACTGCAGGAGTACTTGAGGTATGAACTACACCCTGCCCAAATTTGAGCATGATTACTCCTACAGTTTCTGAAATATACATTGTTAAAGATCAGTGCAAAATTGCAACACTTAGGGAAAAAAGGTTTGGCTACAGGGGCACTCGGGAGAATTTCCATCAGAGTCTGGATGTGATAATTCAGGGATGTCCGGATAAGATATTTCCATATACTACCTAATCGATGAATCACTGCTAACCGCAGCTTCATTCTCATCTCAACTCATCATCTCAGCACGAAAATGTATTATACATTAGAAATAGATGTTGAAGACGCCAAAACGAAGGTTGAAGTAGTCTTCATTCAGGCATAACTTCGACAAGACCTCCGATAACACTGGGAGACCCAGACCGGTGCCAGCACTCTAAGCTTAAATGAACGATAGTGAAATTAATTTTTTTTAATGGCGAAATGGGGCATCACAAACAAAAATGGCACTTTTCGTCAACTACGAGTCGATATCGTTTTTATGGTTGGTCTCTCTTCTCCGAAACACTTCAGGAGCGGCTGCCCAAGGGGGAGAAAAAAAGGAAGGAAATTCAAATCTTCCAAAAACGAGATTCAGTGTTCGCCACAACCCCGAGGATATGGAGTTTCAAATTTACAGAAGCAATTTTGTATTGAGAGAGGAAAAATATGGAAAATGTTGATGCAATCAGAAGAATACGAGGAAGTTGAAATTTTCCAGCGGGAAGGGATTGAAAAGAATTAATAGTAACTATCGCGGCTATTGATACACTGCAGGAAATTTTTATCCTATGATGAACTCCGGAAGCACGGAGATCTAATGTGTTTCTAATTTCACTAGGGTTCATGCATTTAATGATAGCTGGAGCTTTTCGAACTCCAGTCAAGTGAAAGAGAAACAGGAGCGATCCTATATAATTATTCGGTGATAATGATTGTTATTTCATTATGAGTGAATAATGCAATATTGGCATTGATTAGATGACACCCGATGCTAGTGTGAGGATTCGATAGGATTCAATTACGTGTAATTTCGGCAGCAATCAAAGATTTGATGTATCTGCTTGTGACATTCATTTAGGTTAAATGAATAATGAACGATGGGTGTTGGTCTGATGCACCATTAAATTCACGATTATACTCGCTTCATGATCGGATGTTTGTTTGAAATAGCCTCATAAACTTTGTTTGGAAGTAAACTGTATTCGAGTCACTTTGAATGTTTTTAGGAATTTCATCTAAAAACGAAGGGCGAATGATTAAAAGCCTTCTTTCACGTTCATTGGGCTAGTTTTGTCTCAACCTATTGACATTTAGCTATCGTGAAGTACTACGAGTAGGTCGTGTGATCTCGTGAGCCAGGTTTGCATCCACAGACTCGATACGTTCCTCTTTGAACCTCATTCGCGTTTCAGCGACCTCCGTTCAGCAAAATTTCCTCTTGTTCTGCAACGTCTCATCAGATATACATTTCTCTTTTTGAGGTGAAACCGTTAGGCATTTCGCAATGGATCGTGACGCGAGGAAACTGACTGCACAAGTACAAGAAAAGACTGCACAATTCTTTTTCATGATTTCTTCCTTACTCCGCGAAGTCTCGATGCACTATGACATGGGGTAGACCCATCTCAAATAGTTTGGTTGGAAAACCAGAGGAAACTTGAATACAATAATTATGATGATATCTTGCAAGACTTGAGAGTCAAGGGCGTCATCGAGAACCAGGAACACTGGCAGACCAGCAACAATAATGCATAGCGAAGGTGTTCATTCCTGGTCGAGAACCAAGCCAGCAAAATTGATTTTGCCTTTCAATCATTTCAGGAAACACTTCAGAATCGTGGGCATCACAACCTCGCCAGAAACCTCCGATTGGGATAGATGATGCTCTTCATTACGCCTAATCCTGATCTTCAACTAAGGGAAAATCATTATGTTGTGAGAAAATTTTCTAGAAGAAAACAGGAATAGAGTTTTCCATGAATAAAGAACGGAAGACCTTTGCAAGAACAACCACCAAAATGATGTTTCTTTCCTTATAAATGTAATCAATCGCAATAGACAACCGGGAAATCTGGAGGCGGGTGCTGGAGCCACATTAACAGCATCTAACTTCATTTTTTATGGCAAAATTGTGCACTAGAAGCCAAAAAAATGACTCTATTGTCACCTCCAGGTCAATATATTTAACTTGGTAGTTCATTTCCTCCGAAAACCTCCCAGGAGTGCCCAGGGGAGAGAAAAAAGAAAAATATCAGAACGAAATTGACATCTCCCAAAAGTGACATTCAGTGATCTCCGCAACCTGGGGAGATGGCGCTTAAAATTTGCCGGTGCGATTTATTGTTGAGAGAGTGTGACGTAACAAGTGATCAATATTATTTGATCACCTGCCCTGTTCCAGATTCAAGGGTCAAGGCAGGTTCCCCAGACAGAATTTCTGGAGAAATGGAAATCCTCGTGATCATTCCAAGTAAATTACTTAACTTTATTAAAAAAATAAAGACAATAATGAATTATCAAAAGCAACAGTTATCCATCTTACTTGTTAAAGAATTAAGCAACAAGAAATCTATCTATATTCTTTGGACTTTTCAAATAAAACAGAGTTTCTCAAATAGGATAATAGTAAACAATGTAAAAATTAATATTGGATGGGAGAAGGATCCTACTGGGAAAATCCTAATTTTGAAAAAATGTTATTTATCTTACTGTGCTTTCTCTCTGTTACTTGGGCCACACTCCTCACACAACCAAGGAACAGGGTTAACCTTTACAGCTGGTAGGTTGTCCCGGAGTCAGCTCGGGTATGGTAAGGTCACAATGGTGCCTTCCAAATAGCGACTGACTCCGGCGTCCAAGTCTCTTGCTAATATCCTCAGTACCTCTAGGAGGAGCCAGGGTACCTTCCTCAAAAATCCGGGTTTCGGTTTTGATATACAACTTAGCCCCCTTTTTTCCCATTGGCTACACTTTTAGTGCAGGTCTCGACTTAATTAATTTAAAGTCATCAGGATGGTGTGACTTTCTCATTATCTTTACGGGTTTTGTTTTATGTGTTTGACCCAGTCGATTACAGGGTTGTCCCATCCTCCTGGTGACAACATATCATTATTCTTATTTAGAAATTAATTATTGATAATATCATGTCTTTTTCCTGTTCCCTCATGGGATGGTCAGTAATTACATTTAAAAAATTAGGTTATAAAACTCAAAACCATCTTACTCAAAACCATCAAACCATCTTAGAACCTTTCCAATTGTGGACAGAAATGCATTTTCATGGGAGATTTCGCGGAAAACTATTCCTTTATCGTGCAGGATGCTGCTCAGTGGTATCACAGGAACACTTCAAAGGCAACGCTGAACTCATTCGTCGCCTATTGCAAGCAGGACGACCTGCTCGGGCATGTCAGCCTTGTATGCATTACTGACGTCCTCGATCAAACCAATGCCGCTGCATGAGCATGCCAAAAAAGTGTTATTGCGGAGCTGAAGCGGCGCTTGCTCGAGCTCAAAAAATCCATTACTTCTCTGATGGAGCAGCGAGTCAGAACAAACATCAGAAAAAACAAATCCGAAACATCTGTCTCCATGAGAACGACTTTGGAATTCAAGCGGAATGGAACTTCTTCGCTACCTCACACGGTAATGCCGCATGCGACGAAGTGGGAGGCACCATCAAACGCCTTGCGGCTAGGGCCAGTCTGCAGCGACCTGAGACCGATCAAATCGTGTCCCCGAAAGATTTGCTCGACTGGACAGTACACCACCTGGAATTAATCAAACCGATTTGGGTATCCAGATATGACGTTCTTGCAGCACGAGAATACCTACGGAATCGCCATGCATCGGCATTAACGATTTCCGGTACCCAGACCTTCCACAAGTTTGCACCTAAAGACGAGACAGAAATCCTTGGTTTCCTTGTCTACCAACATCACGTCCGAAACCTTCAAGACCTCTCGGAAATTTCAAGAGTAGCCCGCTTTCAATCCCGGTGTGTGAGATTGGGTCACTGTATCAAACAAGGGAGAAATCTACTCTGGAGAGATTCAAACGACAACATCCGCGACAGTAACCCTCTCTGCTATAGAAAAGAGCAGAATAAGACAATTCCAGTAGCCGAACTCGTCCGAAATACGTACGCGCAAATATATGAATAAGAGGCTAATCCACCAGTTCCAGTCGGAAGAAAAGGCCTGTTCCTTTTCCGGTAAAATTTAATGTACACATGTTTGCCTTCCTTGTCCTAAGAAAGTTATGCAAAAACAAGCTGAGAAGAACCCAAATCATTATACGAAGCTCTGAGAGACCGTTCTAGAAACATATTGTACAACTGTATTCAGCCACTCCACGAAAACGAAACATATTTCAATATGCAATTTTGGAATTTGTTTCCCTTCATTTCTTTGAAAATGACACACTAAATTACGTATCGTTGG